CAGCAGGTACTATTTTCTTGCGGTTACCATTCCTTTGTATTCATCTAACGGCTGAGACAGCGTCTATAGTTTGTGATACCAGAGATGGGACACAGGTAAGATTGCGCGAATCTGCGCTCCTCCCATACTGCGCGACTCGAGCGCTCAATGACGCAATGCGAATCGTGCAACCATGAACGCGGCCTGAGTTGGGTGGCGACAAGCGTGAGAGTAGTGACGTGCTCAGCTCGAAAGGCGCCTCTTTGCCTAGTTCTTCTCCTTACTCTCTCGTCTACCCATACCTAATCCATTTGGCGTTTTGAAATTGGGAAGAACTCCCTCCTAAACTTCAGAGATGTCTCGCTTAATCTCACAGCGTCAGGCACTAAAAGCCGGTGTCGCGACAAGTTTGCTTCAACCTCTCATATTCATTTTTGTCATTTACCCTCGACAAACTGCACTGTTCAGTGAAGTTTAGCGAAGAAAATGGTCACGTTTCACTAGCCTTGGGAAGTTTATTCAAAGTCGCTGGGAACTGTTGAGTAAGCATCGAGATAACTTGTTCATAACGATGGAAGTTCCACTTATTTTTGTCAGCAGTTTGAAAACGTACGAAATGAGATAGCAATGCTATGTTCCAGGGTTCATTTCTCGAGGCGTTTCTAAAGTTTCCCTCTCATCATATCACCTTAGACATGTTTTAGCATTTCAGGGCCCCTTTACTATGTGTTCGAAGTACTCATAAGGCTCCTAAGCAAGGTGGATTCGTATCGCCACTCCTCCGGAAGACTCCACGGTTTGTTTATTTCGCAGTCTAGATGTTCTGTCAAGTGTTGTCCAGTTCCTGAGGATGTATAACTACGTTGAAGTTTAGCAAAAGGTAGTTTGGGGGTGCCAAACAACGTGACTATGTCACACCATATCATGTGTTACTTGTCTTGTCATATGTTGTCACCCTCGTTTTCTAGCCTTGGAGCGGGTGTATAAACCACGTCCCCCTTTCTTAAGAGAGCCCATGCAAGCACGGGACACACATAGCCGCTTCGCCTAAACACGGCACGTCGTACGCTGGAAAACTTAGCGATGCCAGAAAAAGGGGTCTTGTTCGGCTAGTCCGCGAATTGGCAACTACTATTTCTGGTAATTGATCGGAGATGTTAACCCCACACCCTCCAGTCCTGGACGGACGGTGAAATTTTTTTAAAGGTTGGTAAGAACAGTTAAACAGGAAGTGAGGGGAGATCGTATTGGAAAAGGAAATTAGGGGTTCGGGGGGGGGGGGGGGGGGAGATCGTGTTTTGGAAACCCAACCACTACATCCTGTACCCCAAGAGATGTCCTAATAAATGGCGCGTTCTGAATGCAGCAGTTTTTATGCGAACGGTGGACTTCTTCTGTCAGCAGTGTGTTGGTGAATTTACGATGTACAGTTGCTATGCTATTCTTTTTAGGATTTTTTGCTTATATTCCTGCATGTGGCAAGTATTGTTGATTGACTTTGAGAATTAATAAACCTTTATTATCTACTTTTCTATGGTTATACTTTGGTTTGGCGTCCAGACCTACAGTCTAGACTGATAATGCAAGGTGACAAAGATTTTTCAGATCTACTCGTTCAACACTTGAGCCTTCTATCACTCCTGTGACCAGAGCTAGAAGTAAACATAATCCACCATTTCGAACGCCATCAGCTGTTGTAGAGTCGCCCACGTCCACTGGAGGTGACTGTTCAGTTAGCCATAATGTTCCCAGGAAACGCACAAGTCGAATAGTAAATGAAACAGCAGATCAGTGCCCTGTTTGTAGATCGAGAGTTCATGATGGTGGAGGCTTTCACTTCTTGACGGAGTTTTTCTCTGTTCTTGTGCATATTCCTCGTCCATTGTGTTTTGCATGATACTAACTTCAATATTTAATTATTTTCGCTTACCTAAACGCGGTTCAGGTGCTGCACCAATGCCTTCCGGACCGCCTACGACCTTGTCTGGTGGAAAAAGAGCTCTAGCCGCAGGGAAGGTATGTGTCTTCCAGTATTTTTTTTACTGGTGGTCCTTCCACTTTGGAGCGTTCATGGCAGTCGTAGCTTACCGCGCTGTCGTGCGCTGCACGTCGTGCGGCGGTGCGCACCAGTTTGTCGACTGGAACAGTGGAAAAAACCCATAAATCCAAGGCCCAAGCAGATCATGGGTGATCTTTCACATCCCTTAACATTTAAGTCCAACCGTCCTGGTGGGACAACTCGTCAACTCGTCCTACGGAAGCGAGGTTGCTCGTTCGCGACAGCGCGACATATTACGATTGTCTGTCACATACCTCTCCCATTTGAGGCTCGTCGGTGTTGGTTCTTCTCGTCGGCATTTTGAGCGTCTCGAGCGAAAAGGGACAGTATACGTGGTAATCGGCACTCTAAACGCTCAAAACGCCGCCGAAAAGTATGAACCTACCCTCAGCTACATACGTTAGCGGAAACACCGTTACACCGGATAGCGACATCAGCCAGAGGAGAGGGTCCAATAAACCACAAAGTGCAGTAAACGCATTAATATAAGGTATATTCGTTCACGCCATAAAACCAGGATGGCCTTTTCGCGAGGATCTTTCAAAAGCGTTATGATTGAATCTTGTATGTAGGCGATTGATAGCAGTTACGTGTTTCATGAATTTTTCCATTTATTCTAACATTTGCTTTTGCAGTGTATTAAGCACAGTAACATACACATCCCAGATTCTGGTCATCATAGAGAGTGAAATGTGCATGTTGTCTTTAAAACCGCTATAAAGCGATTTTTTATAGGTAGAAGTACAACTTCCGAAGACGTGTCGCATCACATGTGTTCGTGATTTGAGAAGCTGTCAAGCAGATACTGTCGGTTGGTATTCTACTCATTTTGTTGAGGTTTTCCTTGTTTTCTTCACTCAGCGCATGCTGAGCGCGATTACTTAGATTTCCTCGGCATCGTAGTGGAAAGCCCAGCCCATCGTCATAATTCAAGTAACATTCCAGTCGTTAAGGTAAGTCTTTTATTATTTGACCTTGTAATTCGTTATTGGTACTTGAAGGCGGAGAACTGAACCCTCTTTCCGAGGATTGTGGTCCTTGCTATATGCGAGGTGAATGAGTCCGCAAATGCGTTAGCGTGCCGCTCTCTCTTATCAGGAGCGCAGAGGAATGGGGCTGGAAGGTAGGGATAAGTGATACCGTAGCGTCGTCTCCATACTCTTTGCGCGCTGCAGCACGGCCAGACGCACCCCTACCATAGCCAGCCGCGCTACTTGTCTGCGCTCTCTCGCTTCTGGTTGTTCTCTACCGCTGAGTGCGGGTTTCGCTGCGGAGACTTTGGTATCCACGTTAGCGCTGCACATTGAATGGCGCGGAGGAGTATGAAGA